CACACACACACACACACACACAGACACACACACATCCCTACCTTGGCGGCTTCCACACACAGACAGACACACAGACTCACACACACAAACACACAGACTCACACGTAAACACACTCACATCCCTACCTTGGTGGCTTCCACACACAGACACACACACACACACACTCACAGAGACACACACACACACATCCTACCTTGGTGGCTTCCAGCTGTTCCTCAAGAGAGCCGGAGCCTTCCATCATGGCTGCCCTGTGGACACATAACCAGATAACCGGTTTTACCAAATGTTCCAAAAGACAACCAGATAACCGGTTTTACCAAATATTCAAAGGGATCACAACCAGATAACCGGTTTTACCAAATGTTCAAAGAGACAACCACAACCAGATAACCGGTTTTACCAAATGGCCACAACCAGATAACCAGTTTTACCAAATGTTCCAAAAGACAACCAGATAACTGGTTTTACTAAATGTCCCCACAAAGAGCACTGTGAAGCAATTGTGTGCCACAAACTGAGCGTGGTACAGATGTGTACAGATGTGTACGGCAGTACAGGACAAGAGTGTGGTACAGATGTGTACGGCAGTACAGGACAAGAGTGTGGTACAGATGTGTTCGGCAGGACAGGACAAGAGTGTGGTACAGATGTGTACGGCAGTACAGGACAAGAGTGTGGTACAGATGTGTTCGGCAGTACAGGACAAGAGTGTGGTACAGATGTGTACGGCAGTACAGGACAAGAGTGTGGTACAGATGTGTACAGATATGTACGGCAGTACAGGACAAGAGTGTGGTACAGATGTGTACAGATGTGTACGGCAGTACAGGACAAGAGTGTGGTACAGATGTGTACAGATGTGTATGTCAGTACAGGACAAGAGTGTGGTACAGATGTGTACAGATGTGTATGTCAGTACAGGACAAGAGTGTGGTACAGATGTGTACAGATGTGTATGTCAGTACAGGACAAGAGTGTGGTACAGATGTGTACAGATGTGTACGGCAGTACAGGACAAGAACAGAATCCGGAGAGACTAAAATTCTTGAAATATCACATCTCATGGACAAAGCCCACACAACCCAAGCCATTCCATCCACCTGTTCCATATTCGGTATTTTTGTGCTGTTTCCTATTTTTATGTACAAAAACATCACAAGGGACTGCTGCTTCAACTCTCACTTGTACTAAACAAACATGCGGTTCTTTCCAACATCCGGTTCTTTCGAACATCTGGTTCTTTCGAACATCTGGTTATTTCAAACACCTGGTTCTTTCCAACATCTGGTTCTTTCCAAAAACCGGTTCTTTCGAACATCTGGTTCTTTCAAACACCTGGTTCTTTCAAACATCCGGTTCTTTCAAACATCCGGTTCTTTCCAACAATGATCTCAAGGCACAGGGGAACTACCACAAGTCCCAGAACACATGATTGTTTGTCTGATAATAATGTTGATAAAATGTCTGATAATAATGTTGATACAATGTCTGATAATAATGTGGATAACTTATGATAATGCTTTGATAACAATAATAATAATAATATTAGTTTGTCTTGTAACAATAATAGTTTGATAATAATGTAACAGTCTGATAATGCTAGACCTTATCGTTTGCTGATAATAATTATATTTTGATAAATAAAAATAGTCCAGTTTGATGACAATGACAATGATAGTTTGATAAAAATGATAGCTTGTCTGGCATCAATAATAGTTTGATAATGAGAGAAATAATTGGCCAACGTATACTATACTGCTGATTGCTTTACAAGGCACCGAGAAGTCCTATAGTCACAGTACAGTGACAAGTCCTATTGTCCTATAGTCACAGTACAGTGACAGGGACAAGTCCTATAGTCCTATAGTCACAGTACAGTGACAGGGACAAGTCCTATAGTCCTATAGTCACAGTACAGTGACAGGGACGAGTCCTATAGTCCTATAGTCACAGTACAGTGACAGGGACAAGTCCAATAGTCCTATAGTCACAGTACATTGACAGGGACAAGTCCTATA